ACTTTGTGTCTAATAGATAGAACAACGTTTGTTTTTGCTCTGAGAGGAACAGAGAAACTCGAGATACCAGGTACAGAGAAATTCCACCAGAGCTCAACTCTTCTTCCTTAGAGAACCTCATTCCGTGGTCCAGACTTGAGGAGCTCAGCCACCCTCAGCACCTCTTAGGGCTTTCACTTCAAACCATAATGCTAGCAGAAAACCATGTGAGCTACACCCCAAAACTGAGCAGCCTTTTGCAGAAGAGATTAACTAAAGTCAGGAGGACTTGGCAGAGCAGGGAACAACAACCATCCAGGGTTAGCCAGAGTTTCTAGTCCTGATGTTTAAGCCTGATAATATATTTAATCTGAATATTAATGGATTGTTTTCAAAATGCTCATCTGGAGATGGAGGCCCATCAGCTTTTAGGAGCCTTAACCAGGGCCATGAAGGAGCCTAAGGGTTTACATAGGGAACAGAGACGTCAGAAAAACTGTAACAGTGGCCCCAAAAGCTGCCAGATCAAGAGGAAGACCTGGACGTTGGGAGCTCCACCATGGGATTTCCCTGGAGAAAGGAGCCTTTTAAACTTTCAGGGAACAAAAATACCAGGTGACTGCACCGTGCTTTGTTGCTATGATCACCACAGCAGTGATTCATCGCTGGTGAAGCGCAGCAGGGACACAACATCGGTCCCCCATACAGAGCGGAGCAGGCTGGTGACTCCCACAGAGACGTGCGGCAACTGCGGGAGAGGGGGAGGTGCCAGACACCAAAATAGAAAACGAAAGGTGTCACGCACAGTTGGACCCCCTCTCTGCCATCCATAGGAAAGGGACATTAATCTGGCCCTTCCTACAAGCAGGAAAGCCAAAAGCAAGCAAGAATTTAGCAGCAGCTTCAACCCCTTCAGGAGTGCCTGCTTTCGTGCGGGAGGTTATTCCCACCTCCCCACATGCGGGCAGGGCAGGGGGCACAACAGACCGGCAGCAAGTTAACCCGTGCGTCCATTTTGGCCCCGGTGTTTCACCTCTGAGTCCACTAAATGTTTTGAAGGCTCTTTAGTTCAGAGATGCCAGCAACACATGGAAACCAATCTGCATTCCCATCCTAGCTCATGAGGCAAAATAACCTAACAAGTTAAGAGCTTAGGTGGTAATGAAATAGTGAACAATGGCATCAAAATAAGATTTATTATGTAAAGCTGAGATCTGGAAGAGACAGACATAGCAGATAACAGTGAAACAAAATGCCAGGCTCCAGATGCGAGAAAGGAAAAAGACAACGATACTGAAAGGCTTATGGGGAAATATAAATTCCTATTTCTCTGGTATCAAAAACAGAGAGTGAAAAGGTCAGAACATCATAGTCTGAAAGTGCCTAAGGGGGAAGCAAATGAGGTCTTTGGGTGCATAGCAGCAGAAGGCTGGAAGAGTTTAGGGCCAAAATATAACAGCAAGACCAGCACTCTAAAAAAAACTTTTCCTTAGGGAAAGTGCGAAAAACCCCCCCCTTTCTAAAAAAAAAAAAAAAAAAAAAAGTTGAGTATAACTTTATAATGAATGATTACTCACGAAATTATTGCTACAAACTACTTCGTACGTGACCTCAACCCAGGAGACAGCTGAAACCTATCTTCAGTGAATCAAGAAAAAAAAAAAATCTTCCACTACATAATTTTAACTTGTTGAAGGCACTTTAAAATCTTTTAAAAATTGCTCCAATTACTGACTCGTCTGTAGAAGAATTTTAGTCTTACATTTAAAATTAGAAGTGACTTGAGAACTGTATTTAATTCTGGCAAGAAAATGTGTCCAGTCTATAAGAAAAAGAAAGAGGAAAAAAAGGAAGTGACAAGAACAAACTTGCTCTCCAGTGAACTCTCTGCAGGTTTTTTTTAACTTGATTTAACCAGATCTAAAATAGAGTATTATCTTTACAAAAGAACTATTCTGACTGAGAAATTTAAATGGAATTGGAATTTATCTTCTACTAGAATCTGAATACCTGTGCCTAGCTTATCTTTTCGATAACTACTTAAATTACAATTAACTGTGTGAAACAAACCGTATTTGAAAGAACGCCTCCTAGTCCCTCTGCTCGAGAAGCTGCTCGCAGGAACCTGGCTCACAACAGAAGGGAACAATCTGGAACAAAATCCTTTTTCCCCCAAAATATTTTTCCTTTATTTTTGCATAACATTTTTGTATTTCCAACTATAAATAAAAAGGATTAGAAAGTTACAAAATTGTGTAGAATGGACCAGCACGGCACAGAATGTCTCACACACGATAAATCATTTCCCATCTTGCTCTTCCTCCTCCCCGGCTGCGGCGGGG